GCCATCGCCTCCGCGATGCATGGACAGAGGGCCGCGAGCCTTCTGACCTTCAGCCTATCCGGCCACCGCGCCTGGAGGTGAGGCCGAGGCTTCTTTTCCGAATTTTGGGGCATCCTGCAGGACGTTTCGAAGCCTCTTGCGGCCTCGTCGGCGCCCCTGGGAGCCTCTTGGGGAGGGCCGGGGGGTTCTGGGACGAGAAATATGATTCCTCAGTTTGTTGTGTCTCGTGCGGACTTCTTCGGCTCGCGTTCGGGGCCTCTCCGGCCGTCTTCGGCAGCTCATGCGCCGTTTTGGGGCCCTGTTCGCCCCCCTTGGGGCGGCCATCGGGGTCTCCAGTGCCTCTCGGGCGCTCTGAAGCATGTCGAGCCTTCCATGTCCGAGCCCGAGCCTCCTGCAGCCCTGCTTGGAGCCATGTTGACCTCTCCGGTGTTCGAGCGGATTCTTCGACAAGCTGTGCGAGCTGCGAAGAGAATTGCGCCTTTGGAGACGTCTTCTGAGAATCTGTCATCACCTTTGACATCAGACTGTCACATGCGCAGGGGGTCGCAAAGCAACAGGAGCTCGCGTGGCTCTGATGGCTTCGGCGTGACACACTTGGAGCGGAAGATGAAGACGGAGCGCACAGCGACGGGAAGGAAGACCAATGGACCACCACCACCACCACCACCACCAGTGGCTCGTGGGCCGTCTTGGGGCTCTCTTGGGGGCCTCTTGGGCCATCGTGGGGCTGCCTGGGAGACCCTTGGGGCGGCCTGGGAGACGTTGTGGGCCGTCTTGGAGCGTGGGAAGCTCGGCCAGGGCAGACTGGCGAAAACCTTGAAAAAACTAAAAGGAAGTCACTGATTGTGGCTTGTCGGAGCTGTCTATGGATTTCCCGTCGGGCGCACTCGGTGCCTCTGGGGAGTCTCTTGGCCCGTCTTGGGGCTACCTTAAGCGTCTCGGGACGTTCTTGGGGGTCTCCCGGAGCGTCCTCGAGGCCCCCCGAGCATTATGCCAGCCATCCGGGGCGCTTTTGGGTCAGTGTTACCGGAGTCGGAAGCCCGGGGGCCGCCGAAGGGGCGTCCTGGTGGCTGTCGTAGGGCTCTCTGGAAGCGTGTTGGGCGCCTCTTGGGCCGTCTTGGGACCGTCTTGGGGGCCTCCTGGGCCGTCGTAGAGCTGCCTGGGAGATCATTGGGGCGGCCTGGAAGACGTCGTGGGCGTTTTGGAGCGTCGGAAGCTCGACAAGGGGAAACGACCGAAAACAGGCAAAAAAAAAATTAAGAAAAATCAGTGTTGTTTGGTTGTCGGGGCTGTCTCTGGGGTCCTCTTCGGGCGCACGTCGTGGTTCTGGGGGGGCCTCTTGGCCCGTCTTGGGTCTACCTTGAGCGTCTCGGAACGTTCTGGGGGGTCTCTCGGAGCGTCCTGGAGGCCTCCCGGGCATTCTGGCAGCCATCCGGAACGCTCTTGGGGCACTCTTGGGCGGATTCGGAGGCCCGAAGGCAGCCGAAGAAGCGCCCCCCGAAGGGCCCACGAAAACCTGGGAGACGTCGTGGGCCGTCTTGGAGCGTCGCCAGGTCGAAAAGGGGAAACTGTCGAAAACAGGCAAAAAAAACTTAAGAAAAATCAGTGTTGTTTGGTTGTCGGGGCTGTCTCTGGGGTCCTCTTCGGGCGCACGTCGTGGTTCTGGGGAGCCTCTTGGCCCGTCTTGGGGCTACCTTGAGCGTTTCGCAGCGTTCTGGAGGGTCTCTCGGAGCGTCCTGGAGGCCTCCCGGGCACTCTGGCAGCCATCCGGAACGCTCTTGGGGCACTCTTGGGCGGATTCGGAGGCCCGAAGGCAGCCGAAGAAGCGTCCCAGGAAGGGCCCACGAAAGCCTGGGAGACGTCGTGGGCCGTCTTGGAGCGTCGGGAGCTCGAAAAGGGGAAACGACCGAAAACAGGCAAAAACCCAAGGAAAATCAATCTTTTTTGGTTGTCGGGGCCGTCTCTGGGGTCCTCTTCGGGCGCACGTCGTGGTTCTGGGGAGCCTCTTGGCCCGTCTTGGGGCTACCTTGAGCGTGTCGGAGCGTTCTGGGTGGTCTCTCGGAGCGTCCTGGAGGCCTCCCGGGCACTCTGGCAGCCATCCGGCGCGCTCTTGGGGCACTCTTGGGCGGACTCGGAGGCCTGGGACCCGCTGGAGGGGCGGACTCGGAGGCCCGTGGGCAGCCAGAGGGGCCTCCCGAGAGGGGGCCACGCCCTATATACAAGGGAGGTTCCGGCCCGGGGCCCAGTGCCCGGGATCTCCCATATATGCATATACTAAGAGACATTAAGAGATCTTACTCGGGCCTACCACGTCCTAGCATGGTTTAGCCACGGCTTGCCAGGGCTTATCAACCTTAGCAGGGCAGGAATTCCAATCTGACTTTCATATGAATTTCAGCAGGAAGGCCTCCTCCTTGGTATTCACTTGGAATTCAATAACCATCGAATCGGCATTCCAACTGAATTCAGCCTGGAAGGCCTCCTGAAAATTCAATATGATTTCATCCAACAGGACTATGACAGTAAATCAATAGGAGTTCAATAGGAACCCAATCGGGATTTTCGAGGAATCCAACAGGATCGCCCAATTACGGCCGGTACTCTGGTTGAGCCTTCAGTAGAGCTGCTTGAAAGCCTGATCTGGATTTCGTGAATTTGTCATGTCACCTAGACCTTCCTGTTGGAACTCCTTCGGAATCCTATTAAATTCATTTCGCGTTCCTATTGAAGTTTTTCGGAGGCCTCCCTATTGAAATCCCAATTGAATTGTTATAGGAAGGCCTCGTATGGAATTCCAACGAGGAGGCCGCAATGCCAAGCTCAAACCAGAACCACCTACTCCATAAGTCAGGTGCGTACTCTACTACTACTACTACTACTACTACTACTACTACTACTACTACTACTACTACTACTACTACTACTACTACTACTACTACTACTACTACTACTACTACTACTACTACTACTACTACTACTACTACTACTACTACTACTACTACTAACTACTACTACTACTACTACTACTACTACTACTACTACTACTACTACTACTACTACTACTACTACTACTACTACTACTACTACTACTACTACTACTACTACTACTACTACTATACTACTACTACTACTACTACTACTACTACTACTACTACTACTACTACTACTACTACTACTACTACTACTACTACGACTACTACTACTACTACTACTACTACTACTACTACTACTACTACTACTACTACTACTACTACTACTACTACTACTACTACTACTACTACTACTACTACTACTACTACTACTACTACTACTACTACGACTACTACTAACTACTACTACTACGCTACTACTACTACTATACTACTACTACTACTACTACTACTACTACTACTACTACTACTACTACTACTACTACTACTACTACTACTACTACTACTACTACTACTACTACTACTACTACTACTACTACTCTACGACTACTTACTACTACTACTACTACTACTACTACTACTACTACTACTACTACTACTACTACTACTACTACTACTACTACTACTACTACTACTACTACTACTACTACCTACTACTACTACTAACTACTACTACTACTACTTACTACTCTACTACTACTACTACTACTACTACACTACTACTACTACTACTACTACTACTACTACTACTACTACTACGACTACTACTACTACTACTACTACTACTACTACTACTACTACTACTACTACGACTACTACTACTACGACTACTACTACGACTACTACTACTACTACTAATAATAATAATAATAATAATAATACTACTACCACTACTACTACTACTACTACTACTACTACTACTACTACTACTACTACTACTACTACTACTACTACTACTACTACTACTACTACTACTACTACTACTACTACTACTACTACTACTACTACTACTACTACTACTACTACTACTACTACTACTACTACTACTACTACTACTACTACTACTACTACTACTACGACTATTATTACTACTACTACTAATAATAATAATAATACTGATTATACTACTACTTGTCTTGTAATTATCATGCGATAGGTTCTATGACTTCTACGACCACAACCGTTCATCAGAGTGTTCCTGCGAAGACCGAAGTGGTGCCAATTCTAACTCTCGCACGTATGTCGACTTCCAGAATAAAGGCGGTGACATGAGAAAGGTCACTTGGTTTTTACACTTGTCTTGAACCGCTCTCTATCTTGTTTCCTACTGTGGGCTTATCTTCCAATCGGTTGGGATTCGGACTAGTTCGCTTTCCGCGCGGATTGGGATTGGTACCAGTCGGTTGGGATTGGGACCAGTGGGTGTGGAGTGGGCCGACATGCGTCGGTGACCCCCCCTTGGCGCTGCCCAGCCGTCTGGAGGACTGCCAGACGGGGCCCGTGCAGGTGAGGTCGGAGAATCGCGCCGCATGGCCGATGCATCGGCGATGTAGGCGATGCGTCGGGACCGTCGGCATGGAGGAAGTCGGGCTCCACATCGAGCCGCATCGGCGATGCACCGGCGATGCGGCGCGATCCTCCGCCCTCCTCTACTTCAACCCCATCTATGAGGCCGATCGATCGGCGATGGGCTCCCAATAGCAACAAATCCCCACAGCACCGGGCTGGGTGGGGCTATCAATCCCCTATCGGCCATCAATGGGCGATTGGAGGTCGATGCGCTCCCGGAGATCCGATGCCGTGATGATTTCAATACGGGGTCCTGGGCAGTCCCGACCTTTTTCCCAGGGCCGGATTTTCATCCCGAGTCGTTCATTGACGGTCTCAGGGCCCGGCGAGGGCCTCTGCAGGCCGAAACAAGCGAGAAACCGCCGACTTGCTTTTTCCAATACGTTGGAGATCGTCTCTGGGTTCCCCCCCATGAGCCCATCTCCCCCCCCCCATCGTTGCCCCTGACCGACCGTCGTGGCCGCGCCCCCCTCCCGTGCTGCCACCCCCCCCCCCGGGCGCCTGGCGATTTGCTCCAGGCCGGCCTGGGGCGCGTCTCGCAGGGCCTGCAGCTGCGCCCTCACCTCGCCGAAGTCCGCCTCGGGCGGCCGAACGCCAAAGGCAGAGGCAAACCCCCCGAGCAGTCACGACAGCTCCGGGACGGGGCCGGAGGCTCCCACCGCTCGGCGGCGAGCGAGGGGGGGAAGCGAGAAGGAGAAGGCCTCCTCAGAGGGCGGCGGGACGTCTCAGAAGGCCTCAGAAGGCCGGGGGACTTCCGAGCCTTCGGCGAAGGCCCACCCCTTCTCACTTCTGCCCCAGGCTCGCCGGCGAAAGACCGTCCCCTGCTCGCGTCGTGAACAAAGGACACGACGAGTCCCACGCCGGGCTGTTCACCAGCGTGGCAGTGCGGGCCACCGCAGCTCTGATTCGAACCACGTTATTCGGCCCACGGGGCAGGCCGACAACGCAAAGCGGGCCAAACCCCCAAGGCCCCCAAACACAAAAAACGATCACATGATGTTCTGCACTGGCTTTCACCAAATGCACTCACACAAAAAACAGCATGGCTTAACCCAGAACGCTGTCCCTGTCGCACAAGCCCTAAAAACAAACAGTGGAGGCCAGTCCACAAGAAACCTTCCACCAGAAACCCAGCCATGAGACCCCAGGACGTTTATCGAGTTTTGGTGTGGGAACGTCACGCTTTCCATCGTAAAACCATCGAAACCCAAGAAACCCAACGCACCCTGGAGGCAAGCAGGGTGTTTGTTGGCGTGGGCCTCCGCTGTAAGCACGAACATGCACTTGAACGGCGAAACACACGACGGGTCTTACGCGAGAACACGTGGCAACCCTGAGCCGCGGCTCGTGCGGACCGCCGGCGTGGCACCACCCCGTGAAGAGAGGGCTCTCACGCGCGACGCCGCGCGGGAAGCTTTACGCCCGGATGTCCGCGCAATCGACCCCGTTGTCTTCCGTCGCACACCCGTTAGAAGAAGAAAAAACGCCATTGACATAAACTTTCGGCGCTCCGCGCGGATTTCTCGGATCAGCGCTGGGCCCCCCTCCTCCCTGGCGCGCGGAGCGCACCAGGGGCGGCGCCAGAGGCGCCGCCGCGGGGGGGCCCAGCGCGGATTGAAGAAACCCGCGCGGAACGCCAAAAAATTATGTTCATGTCGTTTGTTTCTTCGACTTGTTCCCCACAATCGCCACGACCAGAACTACCTGGCCTGGGAGGGAATGGCGAGGACAGTCCTGCTGCAGGACTGCGTGCGGACCCCTCGGTTCCGACGTCGCCAGGAACACCGTTGCTCACGCGCCGCACCATAACATTGAAGGTGCCCAAAGGACACACAAATAAAAACACACACACACACACACATATAACAAGATTCCCCGTATTTTCCCAGATGTTCTTGGTTTGGGTTTTCCCCCACAATTCCCATGTTTCCGTATATTTCCTGGGAATCGACGATCGATTGCGTGTGTGTTTCTTCCATTCCTGAAACATGTCGGAAGTCTGCGCGCATTTTTTGGATCGGCGCTGGACCCCCGCGTCCCTGGCGAGCGGAGAGCGCCAGGGGGCGGCGTCAGCGTGCACCGCCAATGGGGGGGCTCAGAACCGATCCGAGAACCCCGCGCCCGACAAGCTGTGTTTGTGCACCTGATTTTTTTCCCGGGCGGCGGGGGACGGGGCAAGCCCGTGGCGTCGGCAACAACAGTTTCCTTTTTTCTGCCCACATTAGAGGCCTCCTAGATGGGGTCGGAGTACACGGGGTCGGAAGATCGCGCCGCATCGCCAACACATCGGCGATGCATCGCCAATGCATCGGCGGTGCATCGGCGACGCATCGGCGACCCCTGCCTAAATAAAACCAAGCTCCACATCAAGCCGCGTCGCCGATGCACCGACGATACGGCGCGGTCCTCCGACCCCATCTGCTCCGACCCCGTCTAGGAGGCCTCGACACGTGCCCTCTTCACCTCCGAGGGGAAACCTCTAAGGGGGACCGGCCCCGAGGGGAAACATCGACCCGGAATCGGCGATACATCGCCGACAGTGGCGAGGAGCCCACGAGGGCAAAAATTGGCGCGTTTTCCCGGCGGGGCGGGGCGGGCTATCGGGCCTCTACCAGCGATGAATGGGCGATTGAGAAAAGTAGAAATTTAGGAAGAAGAGGAGGAGGAGGAGGAGGAGGAGGAGGAGGAGGAGGAGAACAGGACAGGACATCCGCATGAGGGGGTCAAAGTTAATTCGCCCGCTAAGGTGCAGTGTAGAGCGCATGCGTAATTCCCCTGCGTGAGCGTAGCGCAGCAAGGACTCGACAGCATGTCGACATCTTATCGAGGGAACTGCCAAGGCCTGCGCGGAAGCGTGCACGCTGCCCTCCACACCCCAAGCCCTCACCTCCCCCCCATCCACCACAGGCGAGGCGCGCGGCCCGTTCGCAGGGAGCCCTGCATTTCCAGCCAGAAGCTCTCCGATGAAACCAAGGGGTGCGGCACCGCTGACACTGTGTTGCCAATGGCGCATGCGAGCGGGCCTGCACAATAATGAGGGTTTGCTGGGCCACTCTTTAACTCGCGACCCAAATTCCTCTCTGTATCCTACGGAGGAGAGGACCGAGGAAGAGAAGAGAGGGGGGCACCATGCACTCCGAGATGTCCTCGCTAAGCGATCGGCGCCCCCTGCGCCAAGACAGATGCTTTCCCCCGCGCCAAACGCGCTCAGAACTGCACGGCTCCTGCTCTTGTTGACTTCACCTCGTTGGCTCGCTTGTCACTTCGTCTTGTCGTCTTCTGCAAGGTCACACTCAATAACTCAGAACATCTGGGAAAATATGCGGCACATGCTGAAGATTCGCACACGACATCTCCGCCCGAAGAAATAAGTGGCTGCGTATGTGCATGTCTCCAACTGAGGAGAAGGAGGAGGAGGAGAAGGAGGAAGGGATGAGGATAGCCAAGCAGCCCACTTCGCCCAAGCCAGAAGGGAGGAGCAGGAGGAGGTGCAATCAGTGGCCGACTACGTGTCGATGCATCTTCCCTGAGCCTATTCCCCCTCTAACGTTGCTCCTGATCCTCGGCGCTGTCAAGCCTTACTACTCCGGATCTCCGCGATGGCCGGGGAGAGGTCCACCTCCCGCCTGAGGGCCTGGATCTCCGCGACGACCGGGGAGAGGTCGGGTTCGGCCTCGGCTCAGAGAGCAGGAGCAAAAGAAGGAGGGAGCGGGTGGCTTTTCGCATGACTCCGTGTGCTACTCTCGCTCTCTCTCTCTCTCTCTCTCCCGCGCGGCCGCCCCTGAATAGCCACAAGCTCTGGAGCGGACTGCCTCTGCCTCGCCGCCGACGACCCCCGTTTCGGAAGGGCACCGCGCCACGCGCCTCGGGTCTGCTCGCAGAAAAGAAACACGCGGGGCGGTGCTGGCCTCGAGCATTAGGGACGTCCGCGCCGGACTTCTTTCAGGGGAACACGCCTACAGTAGGTTGGCGGCGCGCACAAAGGGGGTGGAGGGAGGGGGGAGGGCTTCTTAGAAGCAGGGGTGCTTCTAAGAAGCCATTCCCCCTCCCCCCACCCCCCTCTGCGCGTGGCCGAGTAGGGGCCCGACCACAAAAAGGCTTCCACACGAAGCCCAAGCCTGAGACCCCAGGCCATCTGTCGAGCTTTGGCGTGGGAGCTTCACGCTTTCCACCGCAACACCATCGAAACCCAGGAAACCAAGGGCACACCCCAGAGGCAAGCAGGGTGTTTCTTGACATGGGCCTCCGCTGTACACGCGGATCTCCGAGAATTCATGTTTGTTTCTCAACTTTGGACCCCCGATACGGGCAAGGAAAGGATGGGCAATGCCCAAGAACAAATTTTGTCCCAAACCGACAGCGGCCGCTGTGGAGCAACCAGCCTTCTGCCTCAAATGGACAACATATGCGGGGGCACCGGCAGCAAGCCCTGCTCACAGTGAACAAGGACTGCAGTCGGTCGTAGTACCTATTCTCGGCAGCGAGCCCAAGGGGAGGGAAGTGAGAAAGGGCGGGCCTTCTCAGAAGGCTCGGAAGGCCCCCGGCCTTCTCAGAAGTTTTCTAAGCCTGCCCCAGAGACAAACAAAAACCTTTCATCAGAATGCCGGCTTCTGAGAGGTCCCGCCGCCTTCTGAGAATGCCTTTTCCTTCTCTCTCCCCCCCTCGCTTGCCGCCGATACTCTTTCCGTACCACTGTCGACCGCACCCCCTGGTCACTGGGCAGATGCACAAGAGAAGGTCCGAGGAGGGCTACCCTCCCGCCTGGCCCAGGTCGGCTCATGAGTCGGCCCCCCCTCGAGGGGTTCGTCCTGGCAAATTCGTTCGGGGCAGATCCCGCCTCCGCGACGAGAAGCCTGCAGGAGGCCCAGGAAGGACGATCAACGCAAGGGAAGGCCACCCTTGCCTCGACTGGCCCGCCTCCGAGGATCAACCTGCCCTCTTTGGACGCTCGATATTGGTACAGTCGGACCTAGGCCAGAAGAGCACCCTTCAAGAACATGAGGCCCTCCACCGGCCAAAACACACAGAATGTGCACGGATACCATCCGCAGGATGCACAAGAACATCCAACGAACACGAAGAACATCAGGGCACACTCCCCGAACCGACCTCGGTCTTATACCTCGGTCCGGCTGTACAGACAACATGGGCACGATGCCCAACAACAAATGTTGTCCAAACCCGACAGCGGCCACTGTTCAGCAGCCGGCATTCTGTCTCGAATTGACAACAGCGTTCGCGGGGACACCGACAGCGAACCCTGTGCAAAATTAACAGGGGCTACAATCGGTCTTCGCACCCTATCTTTCTGTACCCACTTCGATCGTACCGACCCTCCATCTCACCCTTGGGTAAGGAGGGCCGCCGTTATCTTGACTGGACCTCCTCCGAGAACCACCCTGCCCTCCATCTCACCCCTGAGAACCCAGCCCCCCGATGCCGTGTTTTTTTTCACGACGTCGACCCCAGAGGCCTCCTAAATGGGGTCCGAGTATATGGGTTCGGAGGATCTGGCCGCATAGCCGATGCATCGCCGATGTATCGTCGACGCATCGGCGACCTTTGCAATGCATCGGCGTCGTCGGCGTGGAGAAGATCGGGCTCCACGTCGGGCCGCATCGCCGATACCTCGGCGATGCGGCGCGATCCTGCGAACCCGTGAGGTCCGACCTCATCAGGGAGACCTAGACACCCTCAGAGGTCTCGACTTATGGTGCTCCCATCGTACTTACGGACCAAATCCCAAAAAGAATTTCGAGCACCCAGAAAAGTACCGAAGCAGTGCCGAACGAGCATCGCCCCCCAGAGCCCGACACGTGAAAACCAACCAGTTTCGGACCTTTCTTGATGCTCGAAATAAGATCTGGTGATCCAAGCCAAAACAGGTTGGAACATCATAAGCCTCGACCCGTTCACCCGGACGGGTTGTTCAGCCCGAGTCGTTTTGTTGACGGCCCCACGGCCCGGCGAGGGGACCCCCCAGAAGCAGAAAAAACACCGCCAAAGGCAGCCCGTCGCGCCTTCCTCACGACGGCAAGGGTAGAGGACCGGGAACTGTGCCCCTACGCCGATCCTGGCCGGGCCAATCCTGAGCCCACGAGCGGCGCACACGCCCTCCTGCCTTGGCCAGGAAGACATCTACACCGATCCTGGGCCCAGGATCAGGGGGAGGAGGAGGAGGAGGAGGAGGAGGAGGAGGAGGAGGAGGATTAGGTTAGGCTCGCCACTAGACCCGCCACCCCGAGCAGGCACAGAAGCCCCCACTCGACATGGCGAGCCCGTGGTTTCAGTTTCAGCATGCTCCACCGCCGCTCGCAGGCCCTCTGGCCTGCGAGGGCCCACTCCCTGGTGCCAGCGCTGGCACACAGGGGTTCACGACGGCGGGCCCGCGAGCGGCGGCGGCGGCGTCAGCAGGCGCACAGGGCCGTGCCCGCGACACGCCGCTGGCGGCGAGCTCCACGACGTCCTCCTCGTAGAGCTCCTGCTCGAAGTACACTTTGCGGCCTAACCCCTCGCCGCGCAGGGGAAAACTGTGGCCTAACCCCTCGCCACGCAGGGGAAAACTGCGGTCTAACCCCTCACCGCGCTGGGGTTGGTGGCCTAACCCCTCGCCACGCAGGGGGTGTGTGCGGTCTAACCCCTCACCGTGCTGGGGATCGCCTGACCCCGCAGTCTGGCCCTGCGAGGGTCGGCTGCGGTCTAACCCCTCACCGTGCTGGGGTGGGACGTACTGCTTTCCGTACTGCTCCCTCTCATTGACGCGGCCTAACCCCTCACCGCGCTGGGGTGCTCTCCTCCACTCGGAGGGGTCGTCGGGCTGCCCCTGGATCGTGGTGATCGGGTCGTGGTGCCCTGGAGGAGGAGGAGGAGGAGGAGGAGGAGGAGGAGGAGGAGGAGGAGAGGCGTGCCCTGTCGGCGCGAAGGCCGGCCTTGCCACCCCGCATCTCCGCGACCAGCACCTGCCTGACGGCCTGGATCTCCGCGACGACCGGCGACAGGTCCAGGTCGGCCTCGGGCAGGGGATGGGCATCGGGCTCGCTTGGCGGCGCGCACAAGGGGGTGGGGGGAGGGGGGGGGGCTTCCTAGAAGCAGGCTGCTTCTAGAAGGCGCCGGCCTTACATCTATAGATAAGGCCCGCGCCTTCTAAGAAGCAGGGGTGCTTCTAAGAAGCCCTCCCCCCTCCCCTCACCCCCCTCTGCGCGTGGCTGACTCGCGGCGTGGGCGGAAAGTCGTCGCGCGGACGGTGCAGAGGAGGCAGCGGCGCTGGCGGCAAAGGCCAGGAATCGGGACAGCTGCGCTGGGGGGCTTGGATTTGGTGGCGAGCGAGCGGGGAGAATGAGAAGGAGAAGGTCTTCTCAGAAGGCGGCGGGAATTCTCAGAAACCCTTGCTCCCGCTGAGAGGTTTTCTGTGTCTTCGGATCTCAGAAGGCCAGCGGGCTTCCTAGCCATCCGAGAAGGCCCGCCCGTCGCTCGCCGCCGATAGATGATTTAGAAAACGCTGGGATTTGTTATGCTCTTTTTCGTGGGTGCCACGACAATTGACACCCTAACAATCCTATCATTGAGTTTAAACTGTGCTTAAAATGTCGGAAATATGTTCTGAACATGCTTTAAACATTTTTACATGGTTAAAACATGTTGAACACATGTTTAAGACATCTAGAGAAAAGTATTTGGCAACACGCTTCCTCTCCATCGATCGACTTCCGCAAACATACGGCATTATCGTTCCGTCTTGGGCGCCGTTCTTGCTACGTCTCCAGGTCTGGGACCGGCCCGCGGCCCACCTGCTCGTGTCCTTCCTGTTCGCAATGACGTTCTCAATACGTTTGTAGGTCCCACACATGCCGCCCGCCTGTCGTCCACATTCCAAGGGGTCGACGTGAAAACGTTTTGGTCGAGTCATGAGCGAAGCGTGGAAAACTACAAAAACGCCCCCAACGCTGTGAAGAGCAACGGAGCCTGGGGGTCCCAACACCGTGTGGTGTCAGCCCCTGCGGTGACCTCGGAATCCTGAGACCTCACCGCACAGTTCGCCTCCGCACGGCTTTGAATTGAAACCTCTGAGGCCCCAATCGCCCATGACATCCTCGGAGGGCCAGAGGAACAAAAAACCCGGCGTTAAACGTCAACAGTCGGAGGTCCGCCCGAAGTTTTGGAAATCGGCGCTGGGCGTCCCATCCGTGGCGCGCGGAGCGCGCCAGGGGACGGCGCGGGAGGCGCAGCCAATGGGGGCCCGAGCGCCGAGCCGAGAAATCCGTGCAGACGTCTGAGAAATCAGCTCGGCCTTGCCGCCCCTCTCCCCCCGACCGCATTTGCACCGGCCAGGGATCATTGGCGATCAGGTCTTCATTCGGGGGGTAGATGATTGCTTCTACGGGGGGCTGCGGTTACGTTTACGCTGCCCGTGGTTCCTCCACCCGCAGCGACCTGCCTGAACCCGCAGCACGGCGCTGGGCCTGTTAGGAGCAACCTTGTCAGTGTTTGGTCCCCGTTAGAGGGGCGTTGATAACCTGAAGCATCACTTTGGTTTCTGATGCCGACTTGTCTACAGGGGAGGCCCATGCCAAGAGGCACCCGGCCTGACCTCCACGGTGGCCGCAATCACGTGTGAGTGGTTCCTCCACAGTCGCCCGAGACATCCTCCGAGGGCAGCCCGAGTCCCAAAACCGTGCGGCGACACCGACAGTCCCTCCCGACCCACCGCACGGGGCACCCGGAGATCCGACCTTGCGAACACCATTGCACCACCGCGAACAATCACGACCGGAGCCCTACACTTAGAACGGCAAACCCTCCTACAGGCGGATTTGACGAAAACTAGCAAATCCATTAAGATTGTTCGAAACTACTCCAAATGCAGATCGTCCCCTTACTATTTGCTTGATTGTCTGACGATGTTCGATTGACTATTTTTGAATGTTCCTCCTGTAGAGGGACATGTCCTATAGAGGGGTCCAGCGCGGATCCGAAAAATCCGCGCGGACCTCCGAGTTGTTATGCTTATGTCATTGTTCGTTCCCCTAGTTCTTTCTGACGCTTCAGGCTACCACAGGTTGGAACATGATAAGGCGTGCCTCGAGGCGCCATTGTCCGTCGTGCGCCCGGCACGGCGAAGGTAGAGGAGCAACTCTCGAGGAGCCTGGGAGGGCTGCAATCAAAACTCACAGGAAGGATGCAGGGGCTACGGGGGAGCCCCTGCGCTTCTTCTTCTGGGATGCGGTTCCTGCCTTGCGCTCCTCCGCCTCTTGCGGCATCTGTGCCGCTAGGGCCCAGTCGAGCCATCCTCCCCTCTGATCAGGACTGCCCCAAGTCCTAACCAGCTTGTCCAGCTGATCTCGCGCCTCCTCCTCTCCTGCTCCAAGCATCCGCCCCTCCGGCTGTCAGCCGCCCCGCGGCCGCCATGCCCGCTGTCGCCCGCCATCCGGTCGATCCCCCGGGCGAACAACCCCACGCGCGCACGGATGGCCTTTGCTCCCGCGCCAGCGCCGCCTGAATAGGGGGCCACATGCGAACCCTACCCCTACCCCTCCCCCTCAGAAGTCGTGGGGGGTAGGGGTAGGGTTCGCATGTGGCCCCCTACTGAACCCCTGGTTTCGCTGAGGTAGCGCTCCGCAGCCTCCGGGTCGATGCTGCCACCGACCTCCGGGCCCTGCCCGCTCTGGCCCCCGCCGATTCACAGGGCGGGCCCGCGCCTCAGCGAGGCGGGGCTGCGAGGCCCTCCCCTGCCTGGCCTCACCGCCTCCTGGGCCCCTCGGCCGCCTGCGTTCCCCCCTCGACCCTGGTGGCCCCAGCGCGCACGGCTGCCATCCTCGCTGCCTCCTCCTCGGGGCTGCGCACCACCCGCGCGTCCCCCGTTGCCCTGGGCCCTGCTCCGGGGCCTCGCGGTTCCTGTCGGAATTCCCCCCTCTCCCTTCGCGTGGGTGGGCCACGCCGCCTTCTCTCGCGCCCCTGGGGGCGCCTGGCCTCGAGGGACTCCGCGGGGCTCCACGTCCCCCCTCTCCTCTGGCATCGGGGGGGCGCGCGCCCAGCCGGCATCGGAAGGGGCTCGCGCTCGCGCAGGGGGCGCGGCGGCGCCGAGCGAACGGTCCGCTCTGGGACGGGAGCCCGTCCGCCCTGCTCTTGGGATCGGGAGCGCGACGTCCTGAGCCTAGACTCCGGCTGGCTGGAGGGAGGGGCCTGGACTGCTGCTGCTGCTGCTGCTGCTGCTGCTGCTGCTGCTGCTGCTGCTGCTGCTGCTGCTGCTGGCCGCCTGGCGCTCTGCGACCCTGCTCGCCAGGCCCCGGCACTTGCGCCCCGATGCTGCTCGCCCCTGACGTCCCGGCCCGTCCTCCTCTGACTCGGGCTCCTCCTTGACGACCGACGCCAGCCTCCTCGCTCTCAGCCTGACACGGGCTTCCGCTGATGCCGGGCGTGCCGCGTTCTTGCGCGCCCGCCCCTTGATCGCCGTCGCCTCTGCCTGCTCGCCCTCCGCCTCCTCGCGCGTCCTTCGGGCGCGCGTCTCAGGAGAATAAGGCGGTGGGCACTCCTCGCCGATGCCGCTGCTGCCCGGCTCGGTCGCCCCGAGCGCTGTGCGCGGTAGGGGGCACCCAAAAGGGTCCTGCGCGCTAGCTCGGGTCAATGCACCCCTGGCTTTGCAGGATCCTGCAAGATCCAGCGCTCTGGTTGACCCCAACTTGCATTCCCAAAGGTCCCATGATTTGTTCAATGCGGGGTCCCGGGCAGGCCCGACCCTTTTCTCAGGACCAGCTTTTCATCCTGAGTCGGTTTTTGACGGTCCCGGGGCCTGGCGAGAGCCTCCAAGGGCCGAACAAGGCGAAACACCTCCGTTTTGACTTTTTCAGCACGTCGGATCTCTCAGGGTGTCGCGACGACTTGGTACGGAAGCGGGACCCGCTCCAAATCCACGAGCCTCGACCCGGGTTTGCGTGTCCTGGCCTCGAGGAGGAAGAGGAGGAGGCGGAGGCGGAGAAGGGAGGGAGGAGGAGGGGGAGAGGGAGGAGGAGGAGGAGGAGGAGGAGGAGGAGAAGGAGGAGGAGAAAGAGGAGGAGGAGGAGGAGGAGGAGGAGGAGGAGGAGGAGGGGGAGATGGAGAAGGAGGAAGAGGAGAAGGAGGAGGAGGAGGAGATGGGAGAGGGAGATGGGCGGGGGTGGAGGATCCTCGATCCCCACCCCCTGAGTTCCGACGAAGCGGAAAAAAATGCTACATCTGTTTGCCGCACTTCTCGAGCCAGATCGATCTGTGATGGCCCTCAAGCCAGAAGACGTTCGCTCCCCGCCCCGCCCCCTCTGCCAGCCTGGGCGGCCTGGACGGGCTGCGCCTGCCTCTGGAGCTCGGCCTCAGCAGGGGCGGGGCCACGGGGCAGCCCCCGCGAGAGCGACGCGATGAGCGAACAACGCGCGCACACACACAAAAACACACGCACACACACACACACACACACACACACACACACACACAGACACACCCCCACACACAGACACACACACACACACACACACACACACACACACACACACACACGCACACACACGCGCGCGCGCGCGCACACGGACACGCGCACGCGCACACGCACACGCACACGAACACGCACACACACACACACACACACTCGCACGCACACACGCACACACACGCACGCGCACGCACACACAAACACACGCA